TATAGAAAATATGGAAATGTATCCATGTTGGGAGTTGGATATTAAGAATTTTATGCCTAGATTAGAAAATTTTATGCAAAAAAAAGGATGTTCAAAGGAATGTGATTTGAGTGTGAAACATCACATCTATAGAATTGTTTTGTAACAATTTCTGATAGAGTGCTTAGTAATTTCATTGGCCAAGTCTTGGTGACTTTTGTGCTATGACTTTACGAAAGGATCGTTGCATAAAGTATTAGAATCTAACATATTCTAGTAGTGGCAAGAACCTTGTGTTCTTACACTAACGATGAGGATTAGGAATTGTGAAATGAGCATCATTGGAAAATTTTTCAATTGATCTATTTCATGGACCATAGGAAACAAAGTGTGTGTTCTTGGAGCATGGGAAAATTGTTGTTGTAATTCAAGTAATGAGTTGATTATCTGAAAAATTAAATGATAAATAATGAGTAATCAATATGTTGGTTAAATATAAGTGTTTTATTTTCTCTCACAAGTTTGGGGCCATATAGGATTATGTATTATTGTTGTGTTTCAGTTCGCATGTTTTGACTTCCAAAATAACTGGGTTATTCAAACATCCACAGTCGGTCATACGTTGGGAGTAGGTATGAAGGAAGACTATCATGAATCTATCCGTAGATTGTCTGAAGTGTTTAGACATAGCACAAGTTTATTGCAGAGTTCATGAGTGCTTTGATAAGATTAGAGTATTGGATTAAACCCACACTCACGAGAATCACTTCATGGATTTTATCACGAGTGATTGTGAGACGATAATATTGCATATTCTTGAAACCGAGACGTGTGAGTTGTTATTTGGTGGTTGGTTGCACATTGATGATAAGTAAACTCACCAGTAACTTGGTGTTATAAAACTTATTGTTGTGTTTGATTTGATGAGTAAGTGAAAGCGAGCATTTGAGTCGAGTTTTATCCATTCCTTTTACCCAAAGTGGGATAAAAGCGATATTTGTGGGCCCCTCGATGATTTAGTGATGACACCTAAGCGTTTGGCCAAGCCAGGACTAAGTCGATGTGTTCAGTTGTAGTCTGCTATCAGTCGTCATAATTCGGAAGTCGGGAAACAATATAGAGAGAATGATTAAAATTCATTTCTTGTGTCTATACGATATCTTGAGAATGGAGGAATATATGATCCTTTATCTAAAGGACACACGTATCTGATAAGATCAGAGTTGACAGTGGCTTTTGAAAGCTATGATTTCTGATCAAGTTCTGGAGTTATGCAAAATAGTTATTAGACTTATCCAAGTGGGAGACTGTTGGATTATGAGCATGTACTTGACCCGATTATGAGCATGGTCTTTTTGGGTTGCCTTCACCATAGCAATATGTAGGATGAATTAAGGAAAGAGAGAGGTTTAATTATGATTTATTAATATATTATAAGAATAATATATTAAAGGAGAAATCATAATGTTTAATTAATATTAGTCAAAAATTAATTAATAATTAATTTAGTGGCTAAAAGAGATTAATTAAACTTAAGGGACTTATTGTGTAATTATAAGATAATTACATAGATGGGCTTATGGACTCCATAGAAGGTGGAGTGGACGAATTTTATGGGGAAACCCATTAGAAAACGTCCAATGCTTCTAAAGAAGGAGTCCATGCGCTACTTAGGGATTAAGCAGTCAAATTAGGGTTTCCTTGTTAGATAACCCTAATTGCTTACCTATTTAAGGAACCCCTAAGCCTCAAAAACGTGGTGAATGATTCACTTAGGGTTTCTGGATGATTTTGGGTGCTCCTCTCTCTTCTCTCTTCATCCAAGTTGCTTAATGGTGTTTGTGACTCCATTAGAGCTGCAACACTTGAGGCACTAAGCTTTCTGAAGCCAAGGAATGATTGTTATTGCTATATAACAATCAAAGGTAAGATCTAAAACCTAATTTCAGTTATAGTTTATTAGATCTAGGGTTTATGGCTTTGGATAATCAATTGCATGTTCATTAGACAAACTAGATCCAAAGTTATTAGGGTTTGCATGCACACCATAGGATTGATGTATTGCTCAAAACCCATCAGGAAGGTGATGAACTAAACTAGACTTCAATTCCAAACCTGCTTCCAAAACGGGATAATTTATACCGGTTGGATTTTTGGTAACATCGGTTTCCATCATTTTCCTCTGAGTTCTTTCAGGAACTTCTCCTCCACCACCCCCCCCCCCCAATTGCAATTTTTTCAATAATGGGTGGATTTTGTTGTAAAGGTTGTGTTTCGGGAATTTCTTGGCGAGGTTCGGGACTAGAATCGGGTTCCATGTCACTTGATGAAGCGGTTTTAACCTCCGGGTCCCCGTAAGGATTAGAATTTTGACCACGTTCTATTCTCTTTTCCTTCACCAAATGCCTTGCTTCTTTTTCAATGTCCGGATTGTAAATCAAAGCACCTGTACATTGAGATCTGGGCATAGAGAAACAAAATAAACCAATCCCCGACAACAGCGCCAAAAATTTGGTGGTGGTCAAGGCCAAAAAAATTAATAACCCTAAATCTTTTACACTAAAATAGTGTATAGTGGTAAATGGGTCGAATCCACGGAGATTGGTTCAATTTGTTACTCAATGAAAATCTCTTTGTAAAAATACTTGTTAAATAACAATAAAAATAAAAATGGGGGTTTTGGTCTTTTAAAATACTTGAAATAAACTAAGGTTTAAATGGACAATTTAACAAAAAGAAAACTTTGATGTAAAATCAATAAGGGAGAGATGTTTGACTTAAAGTTTCCTCACATTGACTTTTGATGAACATATCATTAGAATCCAATGGTTCAATATTTGTTTAAAATCCTTAATTTGGCTATAGTAATCCAAGAAGCTTGAGATTACCTAGACTTTTCTTAGTTGTTAAAATGGTTAGAGAAGCTCATAACAATTTCCTTAGTCAAAGTCATAATTTCCATTAAGCATGTAATTAGTGAAAGTCAATTAACATTAAGAACCAAAAAGTCACCAAATCCAAGAGGAGTCAAAAGCTTCCACTACCATGTTGGAGAAAATGTTTTTATGATTGTGTGAAGTAAAACTAACACAAAAATCACTTGTTGCTTGCTAATTTGAAGATCCTTTACTTAATCAAGAAATTAGCCAACTAATCACCACAAACACATTTAAACTCATGAATAAAAACATACAAGTAGTAATAAGATGTTAAAACACAAAATATTTTCGTAAAGATTCAAACACAAGCTCATGGATTCTTCAACATTCAACAAAAGTTCAAAGGATTCAACAAAATTCAACCAAGTTTTGTTTAGCCAAGCATGGCTAAACTCAAAGAAACAAAGTTAGTGAAGATTATACCAAACATTTTACAAGAATTAGAGGTGAAATAATGAAGTTCTTGAGGGTTCTTGGCCTTCAAAGTGCTGCAAAACTCCAAAGAGAATGTCTCCAAATCGGATATTCAAGATAAGGATAAAGAGGCACACCAACCTTCCCAATATAGAGCTCCAAATAAAATTCCGAATTTGCCCGTGTAGGAATCCATGTGGGCCGCATGGAAATCTTATGTGGGCAACGTGAGGGTGACGGATTTTTGGGCTTCTTCAAGTCTTGGGCCCCCACAACTATTCCATTAGCCCAGTTTGAGTTTAATCAGCTTCTAGACCATTTTTCTTCAAGATTTCATCAATTTGAGCCCAAATTGCCTCTCCAAATCACTCAAAGCATCCGCAAACTCCCAATCATTGATCTTCGCACACTTGAAAATTCTCCCGTGCCTTGCAAATTTAAAGATCAAATCTTCCAAGCCTTCAAGCAATTGACAAGCCTAGTCCATGAATCACCTCCATATCCATCAAGCTCGAAATCCTCATTTCCCTTCAATTCCAATCGCCTCCTAAAAATTCCGCACTGATAGTCTCCAAAAAAATCTACAATAATGCTCAGGAAACTAGAAAGTACCCAAAATGCTCATAAAATATAAAAAAAAGAAATATGCATGGAAATTAACTAAAATGTGAATGAAATGTGCTAAAATAAATTATAAAAAGAAGTAAATAAAATGAAGCTATCATGCACATATCAACTACAATTATGTATACATCGAGTATGATTGATCGGAAAAAGGCTATCCGCTTAGCCCAAGAATACACTTATTCTTCAAAACATGTAGCTCAGTCCGCTGACTACACTTATGTTTACATGGAGTATCACTACTCGACAATAAGGCTACCTGCTCAACCCAATAATACACTTATTCTTCAAAACATGTAGCTCGGTCCACCGACTACACTTATGTATACATCGAGTATCATTACTCGACAAAAAGGCTACCGGCATAGCCTAAGAATACACTTATTCTTAAAGTATGTAATTTGGTATACCGAATACACATATGTATACATCGAGTATCTCTAATCGATAAAAAGGTTACCCGCTTAACCCAAGAATACATTTATTCTTCAAAACATATAGCTCGGTCTACCGACTACACTTATGTATACATCGAGTATCAATACTCAACAAAAAGGCTACCCACTTAACCCAATAATATGTTTGTTCTTCCAAGCCTGTAGTTCAGTCCTTCGACTATGCTTATGTATACATCAAATATCATTACTCAACAAAAATGCTACCCACTTAACCCAAGAATATGCTTATTCTTCAAATCATATAGCTTGGTCTGCCGACTACATCAATATATCCATCACACATAAAAATACCCAAGAAACATATATGACAGGTGGAGAAAATGTGTTACCAGACACATAAATAAAATTCTAATTACCTAAATGCATTAGAAAATCAACGATTCCAAAAGCAAAACAATCCCCACCAACAATAATCAATGTACCAAAACATACCAGCCAAAAAATCAGAGTCTGTTAGGCACACTAGCAAAACACCAAGTTCACACTTGCCTACAAAAACAAGAGCATAACGAACACACATAACCCACAATATTAATAATTGTTGAGAAGTTGAGAATGCACCATGTAGTTCTCTTGGATACAAGTTTTATACTTTGCCTAGACGAGCATACATCTTTCCAACTTTCATCAGCATCTCCTCGCTTGTAAGCTTCATGCCTTCGACAACACGTACATTCACCTCCGTGGATAAAAACCAGTCTCGCAAGGTTAAAAACCCATCAAAAATTTTAGATCTCACCCAAGTGCAATGGGGATAATTTTTCAACACGAGCTATAAACCGGCATGCTTCATACAACTCTTCCTCAAACAATAAACAAGAAAGATACCCACTTACAACGTTAGGCAAACGGAGTTAACATAACAAAATAATCATGAACAAAATACAACATATATGTAAATACATAACATACACCAAACTATTTACATACCAACTTGTTTGGGGGCCACGTGACCAAAAGACAAGGGAGAGACGCATCGAGGGCCTACATAGAACCAATCACATGTCAATATACGTCCAACATATGATAGATATAGATAGCGTTTGGCCCAATACCTGGGAGTGCAAGGGGTGATTCGAGTGTAACAGTCATCTCATCCACATATTGGTCAGGAACCACTTCATCCACCACAATGGACTCGGGTAGGATATAACCGGCCAAATAAGATGTCAGCCGGAAGAAGCATTTACTCCTATCTGCAATAATAAATGAACAGAGAGAAAAAACTAGGAGGTAGCATTTATATCAGGAGATTACACAACTAGGCAAAGAATAGACAAATGAGCTTATGCTAAATCCAAAAAAAAAGGTTAGACAAACCTACACGACATATATAACACTGGTAGTTAACAACGGGATTTCCAGAATAGGCTTATATGATACATGGATAGTACAACTTCCGGCAGAAACGCCCTATTTACACAGAAATGCAAAAATAAAGGAACAAATCCAAGAAGTTCAGAAGACAAAGACATCGAGTCATCAACGAGTGAAACATAACATAGGACAAATAGAAACACATGCTATGTATGTCCACCTAATAGAACCTACTTTTCTAGTTCCGATTTGAACAAGCTACATCTGGAGCTAGAGGAAAGTGAGAAATACTAAAAGAAAATCAGTCACCATACTTAGCCAAGCGATACAAATAACGAAGCAAGGAGACATCAAGTGGTATCTTCTAAACAACGTAAAAAACTTCGAAAGAAACAATCTTTGATACTTCATTTAGACATAACTGTTCAAGATGAGCTTTGTAATGACAAATAACTACTAAGAATAAGCGACAAAGGGGTAACCGTAACTCATATACAAGATGTCGAAGATAAAAACCAACCTTGCCAGGAGGGGCATCAAGAACAGACAAAGACGAAGACAGAAGTTGGAAACCAAGTACATGAGAAAGGTGATATTCGTGACTATACCGCTCTAGCATGCAGTAGTCCACTTCAGATGCCACTACATACATGTCATCACCCATACCAATCATAGTGATGGTAAAGTCAAAGGGAAAGCATTTAAGGAAGTTTCATCAAGAATAATCAGGATTACCCGATAAATAATAGAGGGACCGGTTAAAGCATTTAATACGGGCAATCTAATCAAAGAAAGCAAGACGACGTGTAATGACGCAAGTATTTAATGCGCAGCATGCGAAGGATTTTTACAATCCCCAATATGGATTTAAAAATTTGAATGAAAAAAAATATTTCGACATTATTCATTTACCCTTCGGACTTGTGGGGAGGGGGGGGGGGGTTAATGGGGTACTCACTAGATCACGTTTACAAGCATTACCACTTTTTTTGGACAAATATGTATTCGAATATATCATATGCAAGCTTCATAATCGTATCCCATAAATAGTACAAAGCAAATAAAATAAACAAGGAAAGGATATGAAGTGCAATCGCTCACAAACCAGGTAATCAGTGGAGGTTCAGTCTAAGAAGCAGGTTTCACTAACCACAAATAACCTATACATATCCCCGGGAGACATGCTAACCAGGTAAGTAAGAAGAACACATATTCCTTGATATAAAAGCAATAGCAAAATATCGCAATATAAACTAGGCATTAGAGAGCTATACCGGGGTCCAACCATCGACATGACTGTCTAACCTAGTTCTTGTTATTATTATGCATAATGAATTCCTAGATGCCTATAGGATAAAATCCTCTAGGGTAAAAGAGCTCATCATGTGCCTGGAGTTCGTCGTATCAACAGATATCGCTATCGTTAAGAATCAGCATAACTGTGTTTTGATCCAAGACATTGAAAAGACATATTTATTTAATTAGTATATAACATGGACTTGGAAGCATCTAACATAATCAACTCATAAAGGTTGATATAAATGCTTATATCTACACCAAAAATGTGTAGTTTGGAGCAATATATTGTATAGATCCCTCGATTCGCTTCCATTATCCTCCACTACAAACTGGTAGTTTAAAAAATTCTTTATACAAACTAATTTTTTTCGCATCCAAAAGCTTTATGGGTTTATGCTAATAGAAGGGAAAGAATGGAAATAGAAATGCCCTAATATTACAAGTCCAAAACATTGGTTCGGAAGGTCCGTACATTCTAAACTAGTCTCCAGAATACACTTTCCTAGTTTAGAATGTATGCATGTTAGATTCTGAAGTTTACATGAAACAAGCAGAAGGTTTTGTTATTCCCGGTAAAGAGCATATGGTATGTAAACTGGTAAAATCTCTATTGGGTTGAAACAAGCACCCAAAGAATGGCATCAAAAGTTTTATGAGGATAATTTTTCCTTTGGTTTCAAGTTAAACAAATGTGAAAGATGTGGTTTAATGTAGATTTAATGACGCTATTGGTGCATAAGTGATCATTTGCCTAGATGCAGATGTCGTATTGATTTCTTTACCGACCAAAAGCAAATAGGTGAAACAAAACATTTGGTATTTTCTACATTCTCCATGAGAGACTTGGGAGAGGATGATGTAATTCCTGGTATAAGGATTAAGAGCGTGAACAAGGTTTTAGCAATGACTCAAAGTCATTTGATCGAGAAGTTTCTCAAATGGTTTAATTTAAGTAAGTTTTCTCCTGTAAGCACTCCTATGGATTCAAGTGTGAAATTAATGCCCAACACTCGCATTCCTCTTTCACAACTGGAATACTCTGACGCTATTGATAGCTTGATCTATGCAATGACAACTACCATGCCTGATATTGCTTATGTAGTGGGAAACTTAAGCAGGTACACTAGTAATTATAGTGCTCGACATAGGTAACCAGTCAATAGTGTGTTTAAGTATCTCAAGGGAACCAAGGATTACGGGTTGACTTACTTGGTAAGTCCTTTGGTAAATTAGAAAGCTGCATGCAAGTAATTCATCAACCAATCATGTAAATTACAAGGCATGGGAGAGCACATTTTAACAAAAAGATACAACTTCCTTATTGAAAGACAAAAGCTACATGCCTACACCAATTGGATGTTCTTCTCAAACATGTTTGAGACTTGATTGTTTCATAACACAATGTATAGAAGGGAAATCAAAGTTATCGTATGTATTTGGGAGAAAATACATATTAAGTCAACTATTAAGATAATAAGATTACCAAAAACTGAAAAATAGCATCCCATGATATTAGACACAAATAGCTGCGATTTGCACAAACCATAAGATAAATCATATCTATCGTGCTTAATTAAACATACACCTAATAGTTTTAGTTTGTAATAGCCAATTTTAATCATCAAATACATGAGAAATAGTCTTTGTAAATGGAGTCCGATTACCAAATTTGTTGCCTTTAAACATTTGCTTGTACATACTAGATTAGGGATTAACAATACTTGATAATCACATACACACACCAATTTCAACCCTTCACAGATTCAATCATCAAGCCAAAAGCTTTTAATATATAATTTAAGAGCATAAACAAAAAGATAAGTAGCATTTTGGTACTTACTTATAGTCGATAAAATTAAAAGGAATGGAACTATCATTGTATACAAAATCTCAACTAAGGGAAAGTCAAAATCCATGGTAGAAACTAAAGTAACAATTCGAAAAGCACTGACAAGAAATATAAAAAAGGTTAAATACTTGAGGTTTTCCTATGCCTTTGAGGCTATCTGCTAAAAATGAAGTCAGTGTGCAGTGTGAAAGAGAGGTGACACTTTTTCTTCATCTTTGTGTTCTTTTCTTGAATGCTACATGTGATATAAAATAAATACATACTGTTAGTAATTATACATATGGTGTTTTCCTGAAATTTTAGTACTAAATCTAATAAAATTATTTGAAAATCTGATGTGGAAAAAAAAAAAAAAAACTATACAACAGGTCGATAAATATGAATAGTTTAAGTATCCTATGAATAACTTTAAGCTCAAATGCATTTACACCACCAAATCCTTTTTACTCCTTTGTTTTCCTTTAAAATTTTCATTAGACTTCGAATGTCAGATTCAATTCTTATCATGTATTCATCCACTCATATCAATGATCAATCAAGGGTTAATATTACCAAAAATCAAGGGTTAATGTCACTAGTAGGTAACCAAGTATTTGTTTTTTCAACCAAAGATCGTTGTTTTTTTTAAGTACCATCGGAAGAAGATAATGAACTGAAACGTTTCAATTACAAATTCTTTGTTTCACATCTATGACATTGACCTAAAAATCAAATACGAACATAACATTTCACCCTCTTGAGCAAATAAGACCGGGAATGAGAATAAAAGAAAATTTAAGAAACAAATAAGAGTCCGATAAAATACAATACAATAAGTGGAAGTACATTATGATTCACTGGATTCCTAATTAGGTTCCATACATACAGAATGAAGAGCTTTGAGGATTTATTTGTTGATCATATATGAACTGTGAAGTGGAGCACTGAACATCTAAACTGAAACCAGGAATATGAGAAATTATTGATAATATAACAATTACTTAACTCCTATCAAATAATAAGAAGCATTTTACGAAGAATGAAAGCGTTAGAGAAGAAGATGGAGTGAAACCAATTAGAAGAAGGGCAACAGACTCAAAATCAATAGACACAAAGGAGGAATCAAATAAAAACATAAACGGAAATCTCTTTTATTTTGGTGTGCTTACCAAGTTTCAGTGTGATTCAATAACATGTTTCTGATTTTTAAGAAGCGCAAAACCACCTTTAGGCACAATGAATGCCATCACAACCTAACCATCGCATCCATCGCCGGACACTTATAGCTGGAGGTTCGTCATAGTTTTCTTCTCCGTCGATGCAGCAGGAGTCAGTCTTGCACACATCACCGTGAAGAATGGATTCGAATAAAAATTCAAAAATCTGGTTCATGTATTTTATCGAATATTTGGTGTGCATCATGATAGTTACTTGTACAATAAATATTATGAGATGTGTTTCACTTACATGGCTAGTCAAAGAAGAGGAACATTATGCTTATGTACCTGGTTCTTCCTCCTCATGTAAGAAGAGTAAAAGCGTCAATAACAAAAACAAACCTGAAAAAATACGTAAAAAGACGAATTTCCGATGAAATATATAAAGATGAACAATCTTGTTCTAGGTTTCAATCTCAGTTCCTCTGGAACTGTCTAATCGCAATGGCGATGAGGATCTTACACCTGCAGTGTGAGTTTTGGGAATAATAGTTATGGATGATTGAGGCGATGGTAACATCTGATCAGAAGAGCAGACGAAGAAGAAGATAAATGCTCTCTCCAAGCCAATCGAGAAAAGCTCCTGGAAATCCCAGGTGAGTAGAAGCAAATCGGATTAGCCGGCCCAGTGGATGACGACCAAATACGATAGATGAGATAGTACGGAGGTCATCGACGGCAGCTGGTGTGGCCGATTCAGTTGGAGGTAACTGTCGATGTAGGTGAATTTGTTCAAAGAAAAAATGAAATAGGAATAGATAGAGCGATAGAGACAAGGGTAAGGCAGTGTATCCGAGAACAATATCATTGTCATGTGCTGTCCATCAAGCATGGTATGGGCAACTTAGTGTTATAACAACTTAGTGTTATAACAAGAAGTAACAAGACAAGGAGGTGGTGTTCATGGTGTTATAACACCATGTTAACAGGAGAGAGATAAAGAGAAATAATTTGACAGCCAATAAGTGATCACGGTTTCTTCTTGTCATGAAGACAACAAGAAGCACCACAACAAGATGCAACAAGAAGAGGAGGACAACAAGAAGCACCACAACAAAATGCAACAAGAAGAGGGGATGGTGTTTTTGATGTTATAAATGCCTTATGAGCTGCCAACTCAGCTACAACAACAAGCAATACGACCCACACCGTATGCTCTGAGGGAACATTCTTTTTATCTATATATAATGATTGAAAATTATGAAATTACATTAATTATCATAATTCAGTTTTATTTTATTATTCGGTTTTAATTTAATTTAATTTAATTTTAATTCGGTTTTAAATATATACTAGAGGTGCATTAGAATCACACGAGACAAAAATTAA